CCGGTGTGGCCGGGAGGGGGATGATTAGCCTCCGGCCCCAGTCTGACAAGTGCAGAGGTTCCTGGGGGTCCGGGTGGACAGGTGGGAGGAACTGAACAGATCCTTGCGGGAGGGGGATGGCGACCAGGGTGAGGACGCCTGGTCCCGTGGGAAGGCGGCTCTGACCCCGGAAAGCAGAGGGTGTGTGTCCCATGAGGAGGAGGAAACAGGTGGGAGTGAGCCTCCCTGGTGACAAGGCCCCGGAAGCGGAGCCAGCAGGGGCTTTGCACGCGGTCACAGTCTTTTCAGGAAAGGACCCTGGTCCTCCAGAGCAGCAGTCACCCACCTTTCGGACCTCACAGACCACCAGTTGGCGACCGCTGCTCTAGAGGAGTGGAGCCAGACGGGGGCATGGAGGTTGGGCTGGCGGAGTTAGGTTAGCCCCACACTTTGCCAGCTGAACCCCTTCTCTGAAAGCCAGGGTTGGGGCCCCCAGGGCCCTCCTTAGCCACTGCAGGCTGTGATGAGAGTGTGAAAGGTGGTTTTACAGAAGGAAAGGGAGGTCCCCTCTGCAGGCTCAGGGTGTGACCGGACAGTGGGCACACCAGCCTCCCACCAAGCCCTGGCATCCCTGCATTAACATGATGGTTCCTCCATGGGCCTTGGCAGTAGACATGGAGGCAGCACACCTAAGAGCAAGACACAGGCCGCAAGGGTGGCCGTGAGGGGAGCTCCCACTATCAGGCTATGTAAGGGCTCAGGCTGCAGATGGGGCGGAGGGGGCTCAGGTGCTGAAACACGGAGGGGCCACTCACTCATGTGTACCCACTTTCCCATCAGCAGACAGATGTACCGGGAGTGGAGGGAACAGAAGGGGGTGCAGAAGTTTGGGTGCACTGACCAGTTAGTTCCTGGTCTGACCCCAGACCTCCATCCACACGCTGGTCTTGGTGCCTCAGCTGAGGATGAGGTGGGCAGTGGGTCTGTGAGGGAAAGCAAAATGGTTGCCAATGGTCAGCCACATGCCCGGTAGGAGGTGAGTGGCGGTGATGTGTCCCCTCACTCTCAGCCCCTCCTTTGCAGAAGGTTGCTTGTGCAGAGACTGGTCAGGGAGATGCCCTGCCGGTTGCATCTCAGAGGGGCAGGGATTGGGGTCTGGCTGCTGGGTTGGGATCTGAGGCTACTTCCAGCCTGTCCACAAGGACACACCAGAGAAGACAAGCCTGTCTCAACAGTTATGACCACAGCCACAGCCTCCAGGTTCCCCAGCTTCCCTTCCTAACTCTCCCGGTGCAAGGATGACATGCTGACCTGCACAGCGGTGTGGGCTGGTCACCAGGGGACAAGCCACCCTCATCCCTGCTCTCCAAGGCACTGAGGTGGACAGGGATGTAGCAGGTCCTCTCCCCAGACTTGCTCCTCACAGGAAACTTCTCCTCCCCACCCCCTCCAATCCGATCCCTCACCCAGACTAGGTCCAGCCCACCTTCTCGCCCCACACCTTGGCTCAGATACTGTTTGTCCTGGATGTGAAACAGCTGTGTGACATCAGGAGTGTTACTTGACTTTTCTGTGTCTCACCTTTGTCATCTATAAAACGGGAAAGATAAGGAAATAATACTGAAGTGGTCAAATGAACTAAGGCGTATAAAGCAGCAATCAGAAATCAATAGAAGTGTTATTGTTATTCACAGAACACAAACCCTCCCCACCTCAGCTGCCAAGGCCTCACACCCTGTAGATGCAGAGGAGCCCCCCCCCCCCCAACACACACTGATGCCCACCACCCGCAGGCACTGGGCAAACGCTCCTACCCAGAGCTGCAGGCTCACAACCACACACTTGTCGAGGAAGGGGGGGTGGGGAGCCCAATGCCGGATCTCCTCCTCTGCCAGGAGCCCACTCCGGATCTGGGGCCCGCCACCACCCCACGTGGAGTCACAGACTCCAGCAGCGGGCCCCAAATAGTAACTCCCTCAACAAAGGCGCTTTTCGTGCGCGCTGGCTGGGGCTAGCCCGCCCCCACGATAGGTCTCCCTTCCTCCTACCCTCAACCTCTCAGGGGGTGCAGCCCGGTCCCGCCGCCTCCTTGTGAGCCCGGTC